AAAATCTAAATATTATCTAGGCACCCCAATGTTAAAAGCAAAATTGCTCTGAATATAATCTGTCAGAAAAAATATACAATGCCCTTTTCTACTCTGTTTTGGAGTATATACACCAACTCAATATGCTCTCTCTCATGTAAAATACAGAAATTCTAATTTTACCTGAATCGAAAAAATCTAAATATTATCTAGGCACCCCAATGTTAAAAGCAAAATTGCTCTGAATATAATCTGTCAGAAAAAAAAATATACAATGCCCTATTCTACTCTGTTTTTGAGTATATACACCAACTCAATATGCTCTCTCATGTAAAATACAGAAATTCTAATTTTACCCGAATCGAAAAAATCTAAATATTATCTAGGCACCCCAATGTTAAAAGCAAAATTGGCTCTGAATATAATCTGTCAGAAAAAAATATACAATGCCCTTTTCTACTCTGTTTTGGAGTATATACACCAACTCAGTATGCTCTCTCATGTAAAATACCGAATTTCTAATTTTACGTGAATCGAAAAAATCTAAATATTATCTAGGCACCCAATGTTAAAAGCAAAATTGCTCTGAATATAATCTGTCAGAAAAAATATACAATGCCCTATTTTACTCTTTTTTTGAGTATATACACCAACTCAATATGCTCTCTCATGTAAAATACCGAAATTCTAAATTTACGTGAATCGAAAAAAATCTAAATATATCTAGGCACCCCCAATGTAAAAGCAAAATTGCTCTGAATATAGTCTGTCAGAGAAAATATACAATGCCTTATTCTACTCTGTTTTGGAGTATATACACCAACTCATGCTGCTCTCTCATGTAAAATACCGAAATTCTAATTTACGTGAATCGAAAAAAATCTAAATATTATCTAGGCACCCAATGTTAAAAGCAAAATTGCTCTGAATATAATCTGTCAGAAAAAATACAATGCCCATTTTACTCTGTTTTGGAGTATATACACCAACTCAGTATGCTCTCTCATGTAAAATACCGAAATCTAATTTAAGAAAATCGAATCGAAAAAAATCTAAATATTATCTAGGCACCCCAATGTTAAAAGCAAAATGCTCTCTGAATATAATCTGTCAGAAAAAATATACAATGCCCTTTCTACTCTGTTTTGGAGTATATACACCAACTCATATGCTCTCTCATGTAAAATACCGAAATTCTAATTTAAATGCGAATCAAAAAAATCTAAATATTATCTAGGCACCCCAATGTTAAAAGCAAAATTGCTCTGAATATAATCTGTCAGAAAAAATATACAATGCCCTTTTCTACTCTGTTTTGGAGTATATACACCAACTCAATATGCTCTCTCATGTAAAATACCATAATTCTAAATTTACGCAAATCAAAAAAAATCTAAATATTATCTAGGCCCCCAATGTTAAAAGAAAAATTGCTCTGAATATAATCTGTCAGAAAAAATATACAATGCCGTTTTTTCTACTCTGTTTTGGAGTATATACACCAACTCAATATGCTCTCTCATGTAAAATACAGAAATTCTAATTTTACGCAAATCGAAAAAATCTAAATATTATCTAGGCACCCCAATGTTAAAAGAAAATGCTCTGAATATAATCTGTCAGAAAAAATATACAATGCCCTTTTCTACTCTGTTTTGGAGTATACACACCAATTCAATATGCTCTCTCATGGAAAATAACAGAAATTCTAATATTTACGGAATCGAAGGAAATGTAAATATTATCTAGGCACCCCAATGTAAAAAGCAAAATTGCTCTGAATAAAATCTGTCAGAAAAAATATACAATGCCCTTTTCTACTCTGTTTTGGAGTATATACACCAACTCAATATGCTCTCTCATGTAAAATAACAAAATTAAATTTACGCTAATCAAAAAAATCTAAATATTATCTAGGCACCCCAATGTTAAAAGCAAAATTGCTCTGAATATAATCTGTCAGAAAAAAATATACAATGCCCTTTTCTACTCTGTTTTGGAGTATATACACCAACTCAATATGCTCTTTCATGTAAAATACCGAAAAATACCGAAAATCTAAATTCACTTGAATCGAAAAAAATGTAAGTATTATCAAGGCACCCCAATGTTAAAAGCAAAATTGCTCTAAATATAATCTGTTCAGAAATAATATACAATGCCCTATTCGACTCTGGTTTGGAGTATATACACCTAAATCAATATGCTCTCTCATGTAAAATACCGAAATTCTGATTTTACGCGAATTGAAAAAAATCTAAATATTATGTAGGAAAACCAATGTTAAAAGAAAATAGCTCTGAATATAATCTGTCAGAAAAAATATACAATGACTTTTTCTACTCTGTTTTGGAGTACATACACCAACTCAAAATGCTCTCATATAAAATACCGAAATTCTAAATTTGCGCTAATTGAATAAGATCTAAATATTATCTAGGCACCCCAAGTTAAAAGAAAATGGCTCTGAATATAATCTGTCAGAAAAAATATACAATACTATTTTCTACTCTATTTTGAGTAGTATATACACCAATTCAATATGCTCTCTCATGTCAAATACCGAAATGCTAAATATACGCGAATCGAAAAAAATCTAACTATTATCTAGGCACCCCAATGTAAAAAGCAAAATTTCTCGGAACAATATCTGTGAGAGAAAATATACAGTGCCCTTTTCTACTTTGTTTTGGAGTATATACACCAACTCAATATGCTCTCTAATGTAAAATACAGAAATTCTAATTTTACACGAACGGAAACAAATCAAAATATTATCTAGGTACTCCATTGTTAAAAGCAAAATTGCTCTGAATATAATCTGTCAGAAAAAATACACAATGCCCTTTTCTACTCTGTTTTGGAGTATATACACCAATTCAATATGCTCTCTCATGTAAAATACCGAAATTCTAAATTTACGCGAATCGAAAAAAATCTAAATATTACCTAGGCACCCCAATGTTGAAAGCAAAATTGCTCTGAATATAGTCTGTCAGAAAAAATATACAATACCCTTTTCTACTCAAACCCAATATGCTCTCTCATGTAAAATACCGAAATTCTTATTATACGCGAATTGAAAAAAATCTAAATATTATCTAGACACCCCAATGTTGAAAGAAAATGGCTCTGATTATAATCTGTCAGAAAAAATATACAATGCCCTTTTCTCCTCGGTTTTGGAGTATATGGACCAACTCAATATGCTCTCTCATGTAAAATACCGAAATTCTAAATTTACGTTAATCAAATGAAATCTAAATATTATCTAGGCACCCCAATGGTAATAGCAAAATTGCTCTGAATGTATTTCGTCAGATAAAATATACAATGCCCTTTTCTACTCTCTTTTGGAATATATACACCAACTCAATATGCTCTCTCATGTAAAATACAGAAATTCTAATTTTACGAGAATCGAAAAAAATCTAAATATTATCTAGGCACCCCAATGTTAAAAGAAAATGTCTCTGAATATATTCTGTCAAAAAAAAATACAATGCCGTATATAAACCAACTCAATATACTCTCTCATGTAAAATACCGAAATTCTAAATTTACGCGAATCAAAAAAATCTAAATATTATCTAGGCACCCCAAGGTTAAGAGCAAAATTTTTCTGAATATAGTCTGTCAGAGAAAATATACAATGCCCTTTTCTACTTTGCTTTGGAGTATATACACCAACTAAATATGCTCTCTCATGTAAAACACCGAAATTCTAATTTTACGCAAATCGAAGAAATTCTAAATATTATCTAGGCACCCCAAGGTTAAAAGAAAATGGCTATAAATATAATCTGTCAAAAAAATATACAATGCCTTATTCTACTCTGTTTTGGAGTATACACACCAACTCAATATGCTCTCTCATGTAAAATACTGAAATTCTGATTTTACGCCAATCGAAAAAAATCTAAATAATATGTAAGAACCCCAATGTAAAAAGCTAAACTTCTCTGAATATAATCTGTCAGAAAAAGTACTGTTTTGGAGTATATACACCAACTCAATATGCTCTCTCATGTAAAATACTGAAATTCTAATTTCACGTGAATCGAACAAACTCTAAATATTACCTAGGCACAGCAATGTTAAAAGCAAAATTGCTCTGAATATAGTCTGTCAGAAAAAATATACAATGCCCTATTCTACTCTGTTTTGGGGTATATACACCAACTCAATAGGCTCTCACATGTAAAATACCGAAATTCTAATTTACACGAATCGAAAAAATGTAAATATAATCTAGGCACCCCAATGTTATAAGCAAAATTTCTCTGAATATAATCTGTCAGAAAAAATATTCAATGCCCTTTTCTGCACTGTTTTGGATTATATACACCAACTCAATATGCTCTCTCATGTAGAATACCGAGATTCTAATTTTACGTGAATCGAAACAATCTAAATATTATCTAGGCACACCATTGTTAAAAGCAAAATTTCTCTGAATATAATCTGTCAAAAAAATATACAATGCGCTATTCTACTTTGTTTTGGAGTATATACACCAAGTCAATATGCTCTCTCATGTAAAATACCGAAATTCTAATTATACGCGAATCGAAAAAATTCTAAATATTATCTACGCACCCCAATGTTAAAAGCAAAATTACTCTGAATATAATCTGTCAGAAATAATATACAATGCACTTTTCTACTCTGTTTTGGAGTATATACACCAACTCAATATGCTCTCTCATGTAAAATACCGAAATTCTAAATTTACGAGAATCGAAAAAAATCTAAATATTATCTAGGCACCCCAATGTTAACAGTAACATTGCTCTGAATATTATCTGTCAGAAAACATATAAAATGCGCTTTTCTACTCTGTTTTGGAGTATATACACCAACTCAATATGCTCTATAATTTAAAATATGGAAATTCTAAATTTACGCGAATCGAAAAAAATCTAAATATTATCTAGGCAACCCAATGTTAAAAGCAAATTTGCTCTGAAATAATATACAATGCCCTATTCTACTCTGTTTTGGAGTATATACACCAATTCATTATGCTCTCTTGTGTAAAATACTGAAATTCTAAATTTACGCTAATCGAAAAAAATCTAAATATTATCTAGGTACCCCAATGTTAAAAGCAAAATTGCTCTCAATATAATCTGTCAGAAAAAATATACAATGCCCTTTTCTACTGTGTTTTGGAGTGTATACACCAACTCAATATTCTCCCTCATGTAAATTACCCAAATCCTAACATTACTCTAAGTATCTCATAAAGTGCACAAGACCCCCTTGATGTTGTTTTTTATAACTAGGGGATTACAGATGACATTACTCACGATATGACTGCGGCTGTTTGCCGGTCCTGTGATAATGTTTCTAATATCCAGAGAAGGAGAGGGGAATGTTTCTGCCCATAGGCAAATCCTCTGAATACGGCAAGAGGAGTACACCGTGCTGTGATATTTTCACTAATGTAAATATATTGAATTAAATATTGCAAGGTGTTAACCCCCCCTATAATTTTCCTTGTAATTTCAAGGGGTTGAGGAGGACATTTTTGTCAAAATGGCGGAGGTGTAACTTCAGCTATTGTCTACTATATAATAAAAAAGGATAAAATTATTATTTACATATGATATGATTGCCAGTATCATATTACACCACATTTTCAAAATATCTGGGCCCCAGCAGCTGTGGGCATGGCAGCCAAGCGAGGGTGTCCCTATGCAACCAGGTTGGGCATTGCAGCTGCTACGGGCCCTTTGTGATTTGTCTGGGGGCTGCTTCGGGCCCTCTGGTGGTGGCTGTGGTAACAGCCACATAGCCAGAGGGTCTCTCAGCATCCAGGGAGGGCCTGGCGGCTGCTACTGTCACTCTGGCAGGGGCTATGGGCACAGCCACCTAACCAGGGGGTCCCTACGTAGCCAGGGTGGGCTGGAAGCTGCTATAGGCCCTTTGGCGGGAGTCTTCACAGGTACACAGTTTGCACCTATTTCTACATGTGTAGATTGTTTACATAATGGGCACATATTTGTACACATGTACATATAATATTATCACAATAAACATATATGTACATAATATGTGTACAATAAATATGTACTTTATACGTACCTAATATAAACAATATGTACTTTTTGGTGATATTATGTGATATCTACATATTATTGATTATATATCTTATTGTGATAATATGTATGTTACCACTGAAATTTTTAGAAATGTACATAGAGTACACTTTATGTACCTATGCATTGTGTACACATTATAGAAATAAATAGGTACATATTTTACAGATTATGTACATTTTTTCTACATGTGTATTTTGTACACATATGTACAGCAGAGTAAATGTACAGACTATACCTATTTTATACATTTATTGTGATATGTCAATAAATGTACACATGAGTACATTCTGGGATATAATTTTTAGCATATTAGACAGACCGGTGACCAAAGTGGGTTTACACCCAGGTGCGCACATAGTTTATACATGTACATGTTGTGCTTATTATGTACTCATGTACAGAATGTACATGTCTACATTATATATACATAGGTGTACGCAGCATACATAGGTACATACTGTGCACACATATGTACACGTGCATATATTGTACATCTGTACATAATGGGTACATGATGTACATGTGTACACATCATATCACAATAAATGTAAATATACATAATGTTTGCAATATGTACGTTTATATTATGTATTACGTTTATTGTGATTATATATGCTGTTGTGATATGATATCATTGTGACATTACAAATGTACATATTATACACATTATGTACCTATGCATTGTGCACAGATTATAGAAATAGAAAGAAACATATTTTACAGGTTATGTACATTTTATTTACTTGTGTATTGGGTACACAGAGTAAATGTACAGATCTTACTTACTTTATACATTTATTGTGATATGCCCACATGAGTACATTCTGTGATATTACATTTAGAATATAAGATAGAAATTACTCTGGTTACCAAAGTGGGTGTAAACTTATGTGTGCACATATTTTGTACATGTACATACTGTGCATATTATGTACTTGTGTACAGAAGGTAAATATCTACATTATATGTATGTATGGGTACAGAGCGTACATATGTACATACTATGTACATATATCTACACCTGAATTTATTGTACATCCGTACATAATGGGTCCATGCTGTACATGTAAACACATCGTCATACCACAATAAATGGAAATGTACATAATGTGTGAAATACGTACATTTATATTATGTATTACATGTGTATTGTGATTGTATATGCTGTTCTGATATCATTGTGATATTACAAATGTACATATTGTACACATTATGGACATACCTATTGTGTACATATTATGTACACATAAATGTACATATTGTACAGATTATGTATATTTATTGTACATCTGTATGGTGCACATATGTACATCACAGTCAACGTACATATGGTACATATTCTGTGCATTGTTTGTAATATTTCAGTAAGAGTACACATTATAAGTATATTCTGGGATATGATTTTTAGTATGTTAGATAAAATTACTTTCAATATCAAAGTGGGTATACACTTATGTGTGTCCATTTTGTGATATTATCCATCATATCCTGAGTAGGTATTTCTCTCATTGTGAAAGCAGGTTTACACTCTCGGATTGCTCCAATATCAAGGCAAACTAAAACTCGTCTGTGATGTAGTTAATAATATACTGAGGACAAAGGATGACCATACCCTGAATATCGCAGGAAGTGTACACCACCACTGTAGTATTGTTTCTAATGTTCAAAAACGGAAAGGATATTACTCCAAATATCTCAGAAAGCACACAAGCCCCCCGTGATATTGTTTCTAATAACTAGAGAATTACAGATGACATTACCCACGACGTGACTGGGGCTGTACTCTGGTCCTGGAATATTCCTAATATCCAGAGAAGGAGAGGAAAATGTTGCTGCCCATAGGGAAATACTCTTAATACGGCAAGAGGTGTACACCATGCTTTGATATGGTCACTAATGTAAGCAAGAAAACAATTACATTGAATTAAGCATTGCAAGGAATGAAACTCCCCTATGATTTTCATTCTAATGTCAATGGGGGTGAGGATGACATTTTTGTCAATATGGCAGAGGTGTAACTGGAGCTATTGCCTAATATACAAAAAAACAGAATAAGATTATCATTTTTATATAATATGGTTGCCAGTATCATATTACACCGGATTTGCAAAATAGCTGGGCCTCAGCAGCTGTGGGCAGAGCCCACAAGCGAGGGGACCCCTAAGCAGCCAGGGTGGGCCTGGGGGCTGCTCTGGGCTTTTTGGTGGGGTCTGTGAGCACATCGACCCAGCCAGGGGTCCCTGAGCAGCCATGGTTGGCCTGGGGGCTGCTACGGGCACTCTGGCATGGGCTGTGGAGGGGGTCCCTAAGCAGCCAGGGTGGGCATGGGGGCTGCTACAGGCATTCGAGCAGTGTTTGTGGGCACAGCCCAATTGCCAGGGGGTCTCTAAGCAGCCAGGCTGGGCCTGGGGGCTGCTATAAGGGGGGCTTTGGTAATAGCGTGCTGTGCATCGGTACATAGTTTGCACCTATTACTACATGTGTAAATAGTTTTAATATCGGGCATATATATGTACATGCGTACATATGGAGTTATCACGATAAATTTATATTTACATAATATGTGCAAAATACATATGTACCTAATGCATACCTAATGTGTACAATATGTACTTTTTTGTAATATTAGACAATATATATTACTGTGATTATATATCTTATTGTGATTAAATATATTTTATCACTAATATTTTAAGGAATGTGCATAGTGTACACATTATATACCTATGTATTGTGTACACAATATAGAAATATATAGGTACATATTTTACAGATTATGTATGTATTGTGTACACCTATGCACAGCAGAGTAAATGTACAGACTGTACCTATTTTATACATTTCTTGTGATATGCCAATAAATGTACACATTATGAGTACATTCTAAAATATAATTTTTACCATATTAGAAATTACTCCATTGACCAAAGTGGGTGTACACCCAGGTGTGTACATAGTTTACACGTGTACATATTGTGCATATTAGGTACTCATGTACAAAATGTACATGTCAACATTATATGTATTTATGTGTACATAGTGTGCACATGCACATACTGTTCACACATATGTACATGTGCATATTTTGTACATGTGTACATAATGGGTACATGATGTGCATGTGTACACACCGTGATACCACAATAAATGTAAATGTACACGATGTGTGCAATATGTACATTTATATTATGTATTACTTGTGTATTGTGATTTTATATGCTGTTGTGATATGATATCATTGTAATATTACAATAAATGTACATATTATACCTATTGTGTACACATTATGTACCTGTAATTGCACATATTGTACAGATTATGTACGTTTTTGGTACATCTGTATTGTGTACACATATGTACATAACACTCTATGTACATATGGTATGTATTCTGCACATTGATTGTAACATCTCAATAAGTGTACACATTATGAGTATATTGTGATATATGATTTTTAGTATATTAGATAAAAATTTCTTTCTATATCAAAGTGGGTATACACCCATGTGTGTCCATTTTTTGATATTATCCATCATATTTTAAGTAGGTATTACTCTCATTTTGAAAGCAAGTGTTCACTCTGTGATTGTTCCAATATCACAGGCAAAGTACAAGGCTTCTTTAATGTACTACCTAATATCCTGGGGACAAAAGATTATTATACCCTGAATATCGCAGGAAGTGTACACCACCACTGTAGTATCGTGTCTAATATCCAAAAACGGAAAAGATATTACTCCAAGTATCTGATACACAAGACCCCCGTGATATTTTTTCTAATAACTAAGGGATTACAGATGACATTACTCACGATATGACTGGGGCTGTCCGCCGGTCCTGTGATATTGTTCCTAATATCCAGAGAACGAGAGAATAATGTTGCTGCCCATAGGCAAATCCTCTGAATACGGCAAGAGGAGTACACTGTGCTCTGATATGGTCACTAATGTAAACAAGAAAACAATTCTATTGAATTTAACATTGCAAGGGGTGAAACCCCCTTATGATTTCAATTCTAATGTCCAGGGGTGTGAGGATGACATTTTTGTCAATATGGCAGAGGTGTAACTAGAACTATTGCCTAGTATATCAAAAACCAGGATAACATCATTTCCATATGATATGGTCGCCAGCATCATATTACACCACATTTTCAAAATAGCCGGGCACAGCGCCCTAGCCAGGGGGTCCCTAAGCAGCCAGCGTCAGCCTGGGAGCTGTTACGGGCCCTCTGGCGGGGAATGTGCCAGGGGGTCTTTAAGCAGCCAGGGTGGGCCTTGGGGCTGCTACGAGGGGGGCTGTGGTAATAGCCTGTTCTGCACAGGTACATAGTTTTAATAATGAACACATATTTGTATAAGTGTACACATGGTGTTATGATAAATATATATGTACATATGTGCACAATACATATAGACCTAATGCGTACCTACTGTGAACAATATGTACTTTTTTGTGATATTACATGATATATATATATTACTGTGATTATATGCGTTATTTTGATTATATATATTTTATCACTGATATTTTAAGGAATGTGCATAGTGTACACATTATGTACCTATACATTGTTTACACATTATAGAAATATGTAGGTACATATTTTACAGAGTATGTACATTTTTTGTACATGTGCATTGTGTACACATATGTACAGCAGGGTAAATGTACAGATTGTACCTATTTTATACATTTATTGCAATATGCCAATAAATGTACACACTATTAATTATATTTTGTATATTAGATAGAAATTTCTCCGGTTACCAAAGTGGTTGTACACCCAGGTGTGTACATAGTTTATATGCGTACATATTGTGCATAGAATGTACTCGGGTACAGAAGGTACATATCTACATTATATGTACACATGTGTAGTGTACATATGTACATACTGTACCCACATATGTACACTTGCATATATTGTGCATCTGTACATAATGGGTACATGATGTACATGTTTACATATCATATCACAATAAATGTAAATGTACATGTTTGCAATATGTACATTTATATTGATATTACATATTACATGTGTATTGTGATTTTATATGCAGTTGTGATTATATAACATTGTGATATTACAATAAATGTACATATTGTACACATTATGTGCATACCTATTGTGTGCACATTTTGTACATATATTCGTACAAATGATAGTTTATGTACATTTATTGTACATCTGTATTGTGTACATGTATGTACATCCAATGTACATATGTTAAATATTCTGTACATTGAGTGTAATATCCCAATAAGTGTACACATTATGAGTTTTTTCTGGGTTATGACATTTAGTATATTAGATAAAAATGACTTCCAATATCACAGTGGGTATATACCCATGTGTGTCCATTTTGTGATATTATCCATCATATCCTAAGTAGGTATTTCTCTCACAATGAAAGAAGGTGTACACTCTGTGATTGTTCCAATATTATAGGCAAAGTGCAAGGCTTCTGCGATGTAGTTCCTAATATCCCAGGGACAGAGGATGAGTATACTCTTAATATCGCAGGAAGTGTACACCACCACTGTAGTATTGTTTCTAATATCCAGAAACTAAAAGGATATTACTCCAAATATCTCCAAAAGCACACAAGACCCCCGTTACATTGTTCTTAATAACTAGGGGATTACAGATGACATTGCTCACGATGTGACTGGCGCTGTAAGCCGGTCCTGTGATATTCTTCCTAATATGAGAAAAATGTTGCTGCCCGTAGAGAAATATTCTGAATACTGCAAGAGATGTACACCGTGCTCTGATATGGTCACTAATGTAAACAAGAAAACAATTATATTGAATTAAACATTGCAAGGGGTGAAACCCTCCTATGCTTTCAATTCTAATGTCAATGGGGTGAGGATGACATTTTTGTCAATATGCCAAATGTGTAACTAGAACTATTGCCTAATATGTAAAGAACCACAATAACATTATCATTTCTGTGTGATAGGTTGCCAGTATCATATTACACCACATTTTCAAAATAGCCGGGCCCCAGCAGCTGTGGGCACAGCGCCCTAGGCAGGGGGTCCCTAAGCAGCCAGCGTGGGCCTGGTAGCTGTTATGGGCCCTCTGGCGGGGGCTGTGGGTACAGCCCCCTAGCCGGGGGTCTTTAAGCAGCCAGGGTGGGCATTGAGGCTGCTACGAGCAGAACTGTAGTAATAGCCTGCTGTGCATAGGTATCTATTTCTGCATGTGTACATTGTTTAAATAGTAGGCACATATTTGTATACGTGTACATACGGTGTTATCATGATACATATATATTTTCATAATATGTGCACTATACATATGTACCTAATACATACCTAATGTGTACAATACGTACTTTTTGGTGATATTACACGACATATATGTATTAGTGTGATTATATATCTTACTGTGATTATATATATTTTATCACTGATATTTTAAGGAATGTGCATAGTGTACACATTATGTACCTATGCATTGTGTACACATTATAGAAATATATAGGTACATATTTTACAGATTATGTACATTTTTTGTACATGTGCATTGTGTACACCTATGTACAGCAGAGTACATGTACAGATTGTGCCTATTTAATACATTTATCACAATACGACAATAAATGTACACACTATGACTACATTCTGGGATTTTATATTTAGTATATTAGATAGAAATCTCTCCGGTTACCAAAGTGGGTATGTGTACCTAGTATATACGTGTACATATTGTACATACTGTGTACTCCTGTACAGAAGGTACATATCTACATTATATGAACATATGTGTAGTGTACATATGTACATACTGTGCACACTTATGTACACGTGTATATACCGCAAATCTGCACGTGTGCATGATGTACATGTGTACATATCGTATATCACAATAAATGTAAATGTATATAATGTGTGCAATATGTACATTTATATTGATATTATGTATTATATGTGTATTGTGATTATATATGCTGTTGTGATTATATGAAATCATTGTAATATTACAATATATTTACATATTGTACACATTATGTACATACCTACTGTGTACACATTATGTACATATAAATGTACATATTGTACAGATTATGTACATTTTTTGTACATCTGTATTGTGTACACATATGTACATCACAGTCAATGTACATATGGTACATATTTTGTACGTTGATTGTAATATCCCAATAAGTGTAATGAGTATATTCTGGGATATGATTTATAGTATATAAGAAAAAAGTTACTTCCAATATCAATGTGGGTATACTCGCATGTGTGTCCATTTTGCTGTACCTTCTATTAATCTTTGCCATTGAACATGATAGTGAGAGGTGGTTCTTTTCTCTAACAAGGTTTTCTGTTAATATAACTCAACTCTACTACCTTGTGGCCTCTGTATCTTCCATTGTAAATTGTAATTACCTATAAAAGAGAATATTTTGACATCACGTATCTACCTCTTGGATCCATCAGCCAGAGGCCTAAAATAAAAAAGACATTCACCCCACGAATGGTTATATAGTGGTTGACAACCCCACTTTCTTCTAGGTAAATAATATCCTCTCTTTAACAGTAGCTACTTACAAGATTTGTGCATAAAGAATGTGACTTTTTTATCAGTATCTAGTTTATTCTTACATAAATTTCTAAAATACTGAGAGAATATTCTGATCATTGGTTATGTACTATTTATTTAATTTTTTCCTCTCAAATTTTATCTTAACTGCATACTCTACCCTGTTTATAAGACTGCCCTATGGTTAAATTTAGTAGGTAGTAAATTATCCTGAGCACACAGAACAATTCTTTTGTAATCAACTCTGAAACATCATTGAAAGAGCAAGGATATGGGAATGAGATTTATCTGGCTTTTATTTCTGGTACTTACTTGCTCTCTGACCTTGGGCAACTTATGTATTGCTCTGAGTCTCATCTTCTTCATCTGTAAAATGATCATAGTAATACCTAATTCATATGCAGCTTGGAAATGTGTAATTTAGTGATTGATATAAAGTTCCTGATACAATTTCTGACAAAATAATAGACACCCCACGAGAGATAGCCATAACAATCAGAGTTTATATTCACATTAACTGGGATAAAATTGATCTGAAAATACAGCATAAAAAAGCAGCCAAAAATTCACAAGCATATATTTCGCTTGCCTTTTTATACAGAGCTGGAAAATTTCCATCATTATCTCATCCATTGCCTGCAGCACGATCCTTCCAAAACTCCTCCTAAGACCGTCTGCCAAGGTGGAACACACTGAACCGCATGTGACTCTGCCTTTTCTGACTATTTTTGCAAGATTTTTCTCATAGAGTATTATTAACAGAAAATGGGGCTGTTATCAAGGTGACTAGGAATGGTGCATTCTCAGTTCAGGCTCTGATGGAATGTCTACTTGATCTGGTGCAACTCCAGCTGTGCTCTTGGCTTTCCTCACTTTTGTGGTTCCGAGAATGCAAATATTCTCCCATGGCTTCCTTATTTTGTCTTTCTCCATGAGGTCTCATTCAAGTATAAACATTCCCTTCAATTTTCTCAACTCATTTTATATTGTCTGAATAACCTAGATAATTTTCCCTTTCCTAAAGCTATAGACCTTCTTTTTGTGTGTAAGAACAGATTACTCACAAATGTTTACTGTCCGCTAAACATTTATGTGTAATCGGTCCTTAATTCTACACACAAAATATCATCTCTACCAACATTTTACAACTATAGTCTTTCTATAGAGAACTATGAAAGGAACTTGCTCTAAAGGAGAAACTTCCAGAGCTAAACCAAGGGTCTGACAATTTTTAACAATATGTTATTCAGTAAAAATATTTTTTCAGTTAACAGAGAAGAATGCCATGGACAAAATGGCAAAACAGAACTTTTCAGCACTTATTCCTTCACAGAAACATCAATTTGAACAGCCATCCGTGCATCAAGTGTCTTCAAAAGAGACAAGGAATCCAGGTGAGAGGTTATAGCACGTTTGTGGAGTAGAAAAGTAAGAGAAAACGGCATAAAATAGAGTATAAAAGAGAGTTTTCTATTATCTGCATTACCCCGCCCCTAAACCTGGGTAGTGCAGCATGGAAAGAGATACGATGTATGTGCAGAGAGGAGAGTAAATGTAACACCTGACTTCAACATCAACTCCAATGCCAGGCACAATTCAGTGAACTCAACACCGCAGGTTTCTATAGCCACAGGCTATGGGACAGACCCTGTCAACCCAAGCTCCAGGCCTTCCCCTATGGCTCTAAGATCTAATGCCTCCAACCTCCATGGCTCCTATCGACATAGGCTCCAGGCCTTCGCCACAACCAGGCCATTTATGGCTTCCCCAGGCTCCACACTGGTTACTATAGACTCGTAAGTGCCTGGATAAACAAACCTCTACATCGACACAGTGGAATATTATTCAGCAATGAAAGCAATAATCTTTGAATGTAGGCTTTTGTTGCAGAAAAAAAGCACGTGAGCTATGAAGCCATTAAAAGACATAGAGGAAACTCAAATACATACTACTAAGTGAAAGAAACCAATCTCAAATGACCACTTACTATATGAATCCAACTATATGACATTCTGGAAAAGGCAAAACTATAGAGACATCAAAACGTTCAGTGATTGCTGGGGGTTGAAAAGTGGGGAAGGATAAATGGGCAGAGCATAGAGGATGTTTAGGCAATGAAACTACTCTGTGTGTTACTATAATGGTAGACACATGCCATTACACCCTTGTCAAAACTCACTGAATATACGACAGCAAGAATGGTCCCTAATGTCAATTATAAACTATGGGTGACAGTGATAAGTCAATGTTGGTTCATCCATTGTAACAAATGTACCTCTCTAGTGAGGAAGGCTGATAGTGGAGGAGGCTGTGCATTTGGGGAGGTGGGAATGTAGGAACTCTCCGTACTTTCCACTATGCCTCACTATTAACTTTACACTGCTCTAAAAATAAAGCGTATTTGAAAAAAGATTGAGCTGTTGATATAAGCCCAATGTCTACTTTGACGTCCAGAAATGTTTCTTTTAAACGCTAATACACCACTTCCTGGAAGAAAATATTTGTTAACAAATTCTTTTCTAGAACAATTATTTTTGTGGGTGTTCCTGTCACAACTATACATAAAAATCAGAATATGCAGCAACATCTTGATACTCTAAAAACACAATAC